GGAAAATAGTTAATATAGCTCTTTTATTAAAAAGGGGAGGGAAGCTACACACCAGTTAGCTTAAAATCAGTCATAGGGAAAAGCTATGATTAAAATCATTTCCTTGAACTTATCCAAATTCTCTGTACTAATCAGAAGGAGCCATTATGGTTTTGTCAAAGAAATATCATGTTTAAATATTTTATTGGAGTTCTTTGAAGTAACTTGTGATGTAGATAAAGGGGAACCAATGGATGGTTTGCACATAGATTTCCAGAAGGCATTTGATAAGATGTCACAACAAAGGTTATTGTTGGAAAAAAAACCTCATGGTGTAGAGAGTAACATTCTGGCGTGAATAGATTACCTGGCTAATAGGAAGCAGAGAGTAGGAATAAATGAGTCTTTTTCAGGCTGGCAGAATGTCACGAGTGGTATATCACAGGGGTCAGTGCTGGGACTTCAATTCTGTACAGTTTATACAAATGATTTATATGAAGGGGTTGAAGACATGGTAGCTAAATTGCTTGATAACACACAAAGATTTAGTACAAAATTTATTTGTGAAGAATACACAAGGAGATGACAAAGGGATATAGATAGATTGATTTGGCAAAGATCTGGCAAATGGAGTACAATGTAGGAAGGTGTGAAATTGTCCATTTTGACTGAAAGAATTAAAAAGTATATTATCTAAATGGTGAGACAATGCAGAAAGATGTGTGTCCTAGTGCATGAAACACAGAAGGTTAGCATGCATGTACAGCAAGTAATCGGGAAAGCTAATAGAATGTTATGATTTATTGCAAGGGAAATTGAATTCCAGAGTAGGATGCTTCAGGTGCTCAGGGCGTTGCTGAGGTTGTATAGTCTTGGTCACTGTACTTGTAGAGGGATGTGAGTGCATTGTAAAGAGTTCAGAGAGAGTTTGGTCGACTAATGTCTACCATGAACAGATTGCGCAATGAGAAAAGGCTAGACAGGATAGGCCTGTATCCTGTGGACTTCAGAAAAGTCAGGGGAGACTTAATTAAAACGTAAGATCCTGAAGGGACCTGAGCGTGTGGATGTCAAATGGATGTTTCCTCTTTCTGAGAATTTAGAACTAGGGTTATACTTTAAAAATATGGAGATTCCCATTTAAGACCGAAATGAGACACTGTTTTGTCTGACGGTTGATAGCCTTTGGAATCCCTTTCCTCAAAAGGCAGTGGATGCAGAATCTTTAAATATTTTTTAAGGCAGAAGAGAATAGATTCTTGATGACCAAGGGGAGGAAAATTTATCGGGGATATGCTGGAATGTATAGTTGGGGTTAAAAGGAGATTAGCTGTGATCTTATTAATAGACAAAGCAAGTTCAAAGGGTTAAGTGGCCTTCTTTTGTTCCTTGTTTGTGAGTTCATAGTGGATGGTATTACACAGTTGCAAGTAGCTAAGTTTGTCTATTTAAGTCAAAAGATAAAAGAAGATGACAAGTTGCTGAAGTTAGAAGAAATACAGATAGCCAGATGTAATTTTGTGAAGGTGAAGGATGCACTAACACTAGAAATCTCATGCTTGTAACAAGAAAGAAACGTCATAAGATGCCACATTCTATCCACGTTCCTGTGTGCCTCAGAAATGTGAACAAAAATTAAAGATCAGTGGAAGAACACAAGGGCCTTTTGGGATATAGATGCTAAGATGTATGCTAGAAGTTCCACATACAGACCAGCAGACAAGTGAAAAAACTTGAAATTGCAGGAGCAAGAAAATGACTTTCAGAAAAGAAAGTGTCAGTATTTTGGCCATTTTATCAGAGCTGAAAAGCTATAGAGATCTCTTGTTGAGGGCAAAGTGAAGGGCAGCAGAAAGGGGGAATTGACCTATAGACATAGATGCTGTATGACAGTGTTTTCAGTTGAGCTACAGTGGATGTGTCAGGTTGATACAAGTCCAACAAGCATGGCACCCCATGATGGGATCTCCTGGCAGGAAGAGCTAGAAATTGCCCCAGTGAACACTTAATAAATCACAAATGAGACACTTCTAAATCACAAAAGAGTATACATCATATGTCCCAATTTTTTAAAAAATGGCAAAGAAGCCAAAATTCTCTTCAAGTAACTTTGATACCTTAAGAATGGTGAACACTTTGTTTGATGTTGTCATCTTGCAGATTTTGGCCATCATGCCCAATTTCCCATTGGTTTGCACTTTGCACTGTCTGTCAAATTAGCTGTGTGCCTTGGTTTTGTGGTGGCATTTTTATTCAAACTGTTATGGTTCAATCACATTCCAGAAATTTAAACACAAAGTCTTAGCCAATATTTCAGTCCTATGCTAGGAGTACTCCATTGTTGGAGGAACTACCTTTTGGATTGGACATTAAATGGAGGCCACATTTGCCCTCTTTGTTTTCTGCCCATAATTTATCAAGAATGTTAAATGTTATGAAATAAATCCAAATTGTTCAAAGCGTAACATGGAAGTAGGACCGGTGGCCATAAATAAACATTGATGGTTAAGTAAATATAAAATGCATGTCCAGAAAATGTCTTTAGTAACATTTATGTAATTATAATTATTTGAACTAATTATAGAAGCAATGAAATTGAGCTTGCTCAAAATACGCTAAAATCATATGATGAAATTAATATTAAGGAATGAGTTCAGCAGACCAAGTAATTCTTCTCTTACTGTTGAATTTCTTTCTATTTTTGTAGATATGTCTCCAAATACAATCATATCAATACTGAAATATAAAATGTAGAATTTTCCCAGTGGGTTTTGGGATCCCATTGTTAGGCCCAATTGGAGATCAGAAGCACAGACTGTGGCATTCACTTGTGATTTTCTTCAATTGGCCACTTAGCCACCAGACACGAGACTCACTGCCTAATTAAAGACAGTAGGCAGATTCCTGATGCAAGAGGCTAGTAGGAATCTTCCAACTGGGCAGTAGCAGCAATATTTCCTGGCAGGTAAATGAGGGAGAAGAGGATGCAAATCTCCAAATTTCTAAAATTTGAAAAAAAATCCAACTGCTGGATCACCGTTTTGTGATGAGGGGAATGGGATTGCATTCCAAAAGACACTGCAGCTAGAGTTGAACATATGTCAGCACAGATTGTCTGTCTCTAGGCTTGTCTGCAATTCTGGCCATTCCAATCTGCAGCTAGGAAGTGGCTGCCACGCAGCCTCACTGTCTGTTGACAGAGGGACAGGAGGGTTGACAGGAAAGTCCCAATCAGTCATCCACAGTTGACCTTAAGTGACCATTTACAGGAAGGGACTGGGTTATGCCACCACCCCATCTTCAACCCTTTGCATCCCACCTTTATGAAAATGGCCTGTAGAATTGATGGAGCTGGAGAACTAGAAGCAGAACTAGTGGCTAGGTAGCCATTTTCAATAGTTGCCTATTTGTGTATAAAATTGGCACTTCAGAATTCATTACGCCTCTATTGTTGACCTAAACATTTCAAATCCCATGCAATCTTTAATTTCTTAGCCAAAGGTTCCTTGTATTGATTTGTGTTTTAATCCTGCTGATGTTACTACTGGACAATTATGATCCCAAAATGAAACCTGGTTTGATGGAACGCATTTGTTTTTTTTTACCTCATGTCCATCTTCCTGCCCTCTTCCCCATAACCCTCGATTTACCTGACTTTCTGTCTCAGCCATATATATACATAATGGCTCTGCCTCCACAGTTATCTGTGGTGAGGAATTTCAAATGCTCTCAACCCTCTGAGAGAAGAAATCCTTCCTCATCTCAGTCTTAAATTGACACCCCTTTAATCTGAGACAATGCTGTCTGGTCCTAGACTCTCCCATGAGGAGAAACACCCTCCCAGCATTCAGAGATAGTAGGAACTGCCGATGCTGGAGTCTGAGATAATAAGGTGTAGAGCTGGATGGACACAGCAGGCCAGGCAGCATCAGAGGAGCAGGAAAGCTGACGTTTCGGGTCTGGACCCTTCTTCAGAAGGGTGCTTGGCCTGCTGTATTCATCCAGCTCTACACCTCATTATCTCTGTTCTCTTAGCATTCATCGTGTTTAGCCCCTTAAGAATCCCTTATGTTTCAATGAGATCACCTCTTATTCTTCAAAATTCCAATGAGTAGAGTTCCAACCTGTTTAACCTTTGCTCATAAGAAAATCTGTCCATATTAGGAATCATCGTAGTGAATCTTTTCTAAGCTGCCTCCAATGAAATGATATCTTTCCTTAAATAAGAGGACCAAAACTGCCTTCAGTACTCCATATGTGGTCTCAGCAGTGCTTTGTACAGTTGCAGTAAGGCTCTTTATACTCCAACTCACTTGAAATAAGGGCCAGCGTTCCATTAGTCTTCCTCCTTAACTGCTGCACCTGTGCTAGCTTTGTGTTTTATGCACAAGTGCCCCAAAATATCTCTATGTTGTGGTTTTCTACAGTTGTTTTTTTTTATCCATTTAAATAATGTTCTGTTGTTTTACTCTCTTATCCAAAATGAGCAATTTCACATTTCCCACATTATATTCCATTTGCCTAGTTTATGTGTACTTGCTTAACCTATCAATATCTGTGTGAATAGTTTCGATCCCTTTTGCTACCTGCCTTTCCACCTATTTTTGTCTCGTACAAATTTGGGTACAGGATATTTGCTTCCTTTTTCCAAGTTTATTAATATATATTGTAAACAGTTGTGGTCCCAACATTGATCCCTGTAGAACCCCATTGATCATAGGTTGCCAATCTTTTTAAAAAAAAGTCCCTTATCTCCACTCACTGTTTCCTGCCCATTAGCTAGTTGTACCACAGATACGTTGATTTTTAATTAAGCACCGTGAAAATCATTTGAGTGGGTTTTAATTTTATTTCCCTGACTTTCTGTTTTTCTTTTTAGATATTGCACAATGGAGTAGAAACTCTTAAGTATTATTCACCTTTCTTTAAAAGCATCATAAATGATGTATTGTAACTATGTCCTAATTATTTATACCTTTCTTCATCGCAATAACTTGCCTTTTTTGTTCCTGTTTTTGCAGCTACGATGGCTGATGGATTTTCATTATATTTTGTGGGAGAATGCAACAGTGTGAGTACAACATAACAAATGACTATAATAAAGGTGGACTGACTGTGACATTGCATTAATTTTTGAATCAAGGATTGCATTTGGATCATAGAATCCCTACAGTGTGGAAACAGGCCCTTCGGCCCAACAAGTCCACACCAAACCTCGGAGCATCCCACCCAGACCCATCCCCCTATAACCCACCTAATCTACACCTCCCTGAACACTACGGGCAATTTAGCATGGCCAATCCACCTAACCTGCACATCTTTGGACTGTGGGAGGAAACCGGAGCAGCTGGAGGAAACCCACGCAGACACGGGGAGAATGTGCAAACTCCACACAAACAGTCACCTGAGGCTGGAATCGAACCCGGGTCCCTGGCGCTGTGAGGCAGCAGTGCTAACCACTGTGCCACTGTGCCGTAAACGGCATCTTAAGTACTGGGAATATAGGAGCAGGCAAGTAGGCATACTGTTCCCATTGGCAGTATTAGGAAGGGAAAATAGCAGTTGGATTTGTCACAAAATTTTTCAACTTTTACCGCTGCAATCTTGTCAGGATTTGAGTAGGGCAGTGGAACTAAGTCTAAACTCCAAATGTCTTCAGTAATCTATCTTGTTAAATTAGTGTTTGCAAGTGGAAGTGAACAGCTCACCTTTACAAATTGATGGTTATGTTGTATTCCAGGGCAATTTTAGAAAACTTTTATGCAGATCAGATTTCAGCTTACACTGAAGACAAGGTTTTCACCCTGATGTGAGGGCAGGAACTGAGTCTGCTGGCACTGTCTGCTAGCATTATCCTAACAAGAAGCTGATTAAGAGGCCAATCGCACTAATGATCAGAGGCTGACTGGAAATTTCCAGGCAGCCTCAGACACTGGGGACATAGAGGTTGCTTTGAAGCAGCATTGTGGAGTATTGGGGGTGAGGAGGCAGTCATTGCTCCCAGAATACTTTGAGGCCTCTGTGACCTACCTACTGGTAAGACCGCTGGTTTCACTGGTTTCTACAGTGGTGATCTGCAGCTGTGGCTTTTGTTTATTTTAATTCTTTAAAAATTCCGCTGCAGCACCTTCCAAGTTGCAGGGCATTCTGTTAGTCCTTAAATTTTGGGAGCACTCCCATTGTTCTTTATTGGATGTTTGGCATGTTGTTTTGCCATTAATCAACAAGTCCAGACAAAATGTACGTTGAATAATTTCAACACCGCATGGTACATGGTTGGAACTTGGGTTTGATGCCAACATTATGATCCATACCCAAAAGAAAAATCCTTGCCTAGGTTTCATTAAAATCTAGAAAATAGCATTTTTTTCAAGAATGGACACAATTTGGCAGTAAAATTAAAGATCTGATTTCATTCTTTTTAAAGTACTGTCACTTGAAAATCAGATAGATGCTGATCCAGGTGTGACATGCTATGAGAGTGAGTGATCTAATGGATGGTTGTGAGGGGTCAACTACTCTACAAATTAAAGCGTAGAGTCATAGTCATTCTAGACATGTACTCTAATAGTAAGCTTTCAAAGTAATGTAAGCTGAAGGCCAGAGCTGATTTTAATTTTTTCACATGATGCAAGATTTCGTGGTGAGACTGGTATTTGTTCTTCATCCCTAATTACGCTTGAAGTCAGGAGAGACATTCTTGAACAGCTGCAGTCCGTCTGGTGAAGATGTACCCCTCAATTGCCTTAGAGAAAGACAGTTCCAGGATTTTGATCAGTGATGGTGAGGGAACAACAATGTCATTCCAAATCACAATAGTGTGTGGCTTAAAGGAGAACTTGCAAGAGGGGGGGGTGGTTCCCATGCATCTACTGCACTTGTCCTTCTGGATGGCAGTGTTGGGTTTTGATTCTGTTTTGTTGTAGATGGTCTTTCCCTGGCATTAGTGGCATGAATTTTACTTGCAGCGTCCATCCTGAAATATCACACAGTCTCAAAAACGTGAATTTATGTAACATCTTTAATACAGAAAGATCTCAGAAAATGTTGAAGCATTGGAAAACAAAATCACAACATGATCTTCTAAATTAGTAGACTTTATTTCTATCATACTCAAATAAATGCATCAAATCGCTGTGACGAATTACAATTAGAGAGAGGATAGCTAGCAGCAGTTATAACTTGATTCGTTAAAAATCCAGTTGCAGCTCATTAATGAAGCATAGCTTTTTCACGAGGTTTTATGTGATATCACTGCATAAAAGGGAAGCTGCCATTAGTTCAGTTATTGTTTTAATATTACTATCTGTAGATAATTCAACAGTATCTATTTCTTATAGCCTTATATCAGTAGGTGATCAAGGGGAAAGGGCAAGAAAGTGGACATGAGGGATGTCGGATCAGCTATGATCTTATTGAATGGCAGAGCAGGCTCGAGGGGCTGTATGGCCTACTCCTTTTAGTATTTCTTATGGTCTTAATTCAACATGTGGAGGAGCTGAGAATCACTACAGTCATTTCTGTGTTTCTACATTTGAATACATGTGCAGACACCTGAAACACTTGTCAGTTAAAATAATTCCTTTATACCTGTGGAATTGGGGGAAAAAACAACTTTTTCCTTTGTGTGACCTTAATAATTTAATTTTACCAGCACTTCATTGATCAGTTGAAAAATAAACTGCTACAACCAACAAAAACTGAAAAATCTGAAGAATTATAAAGGAATTTGCATTTCAATATTTGCTGATAGAAATTTCTATCACATTATGAAATCATGCACATGTTAAATGCATATATTGGCCTACATTTTGCGATTGTATTTCTGGTGAAACTGTCAGCATTTGCGACAATTACCCTACAAAAATGACAAAAACATGCAGAACAGGTATTCCTGGACAAGCAGCAAGAAAGTTGAAGTAGATTCTTGGATCTTGGACAGAAAATGAGGTAGGCCATTCATCACATGTCCACTACCAAGTTGAAGGCTTTTGAGCACAAGTTCCTCTATTGAGTGAATGACCAACCTCTCTCAACTGTATATTGTAGCACTGTTGAGATGACATAAGAACAGTACACTGATATGCAGAGAATGTATGCTACGTTCTGTACCATTAACTGGCCAGTGGCATTGATGGCACATATATATGAATGGAGTGGATGGTAGTAACACCTAAGCCAGTGGTTTCTTCTGATTAAATGGTCTCTGAAAGGACTGAGGTGATCAGAGATGATGTTGAAGGGGCTACCTCTGATGCCTTTCATCCATAAGCTGGGCTACTTTGTCTGAGGGACTATCAAGGCAGTAAGGTCCTGTGACTAAGACTGCTGGTTATTGATGCCAGCGCAGCAGCCTTTGGAGGTGCTTTCACTGACATCTCTATGATGAGTATGACTGCCACAGGTATCTCAGCTGCATGTAGGCAGAAGTGAACAGGTTGCCTTAACTTCATCCCCAACCTTATGGAGCAGCCTCAAACATTGGGCCCTGCATCTGTAATTTCATTCTTTGGTTCAAATACATGGGTGTTAAATCGTGTCAAGGAACAAGGGATCAATATAATAGAGATAGTAGGAACTGCCGATGCTGGAGAATCTGAGATAACAAGGTGTAGAGCTGGATGAACACAGCAGGGCAAGCAGCATCAGAGGAGCAGGAAAGCTGACGTTTCGGGTCTAGACCCTTCTTCAGAAATGGGGGAGGGGAAGGGGATTCTGGA